GATTTTCGCTTGGGTCCGCACAGGATGGATCGCATTGGCTTATTTTGTAAGAGTGGTTGGTTAGTTTTTCGGGAAATACACTCGTTTGCAAATCAATTTGGTTTTCACGAGAGACTCTCGAAAAACAGTCCAATTTGGACTGGAAGGTTGACGGAAGCTGGGGGACTGCGCCTACCTGATAAGCCCCAAGAAGTGCGAAACCGGTCGTGGGCTGTCAAAAAGTTTCCAGTAACCTTGTGAGTAGTTTCCTTTATGGTTGGTCAGTCCTTTCAGGCTCCCTAGGACACGCGAATACTCCAACAGATGTCCTTTCTGGGAAAAAGCACTCCTCTGCAGAGGAATCCACCCTCACAGGGACTTAAAACCTGAATTTGCCCTGGTTTCTATTCTCCAGTGCGTTCAAGTTGGAATTTTTGTCTCGTCTTTATCGAACCTATCAAAAACAACCTTTTTATTTGAACGGGACATTTGATCATGTCTCCAGTTCAATAGGGACCAAATTACCTTCATCCATATCTTCGCTCTATTGAGCCCTGCTTGGCTGGATTTTTCTCACAAATTATTCGGAATAGCTTTCTAACAGATTTTAATGAAAGACAACCGTCCAAATTGTGGGCAATTAGATGGCCGCTTCAAACTCATCGACAATGGAATCAGACACTAATGAGGCATGATAAATTGTCTGACAATCTTCCGTTCTCCCATCAGGCTTTCGACCTCCATTTTCAATGCACATTTTTTCCAAAGAGTGAAAATCAAATGATCTTCTTCAACGAAGAATCATTTTCTTTAGGAATGCTTCTAAGAATCAATCGGTTTATGTGGGAACATCCATAACAGGCTAAAGTGTGTTTCTTCTGAATTAGTAGGCAGATTCAGGCCAAGCTACATATGAACAAGAAGCATTGATGAGTGCAAAATCTGACATCAAAAATCTGACATCAAAATCTGACATCAATTTGCGCAGCATGTCTCGTATGGTAACCTGTTTGGTTATTCAAGAGTGGGTCTAGTCGCTTTCTTGGCCTTCATAACCCTGCTGACGTAGAACAATTCTCGACCGTTAAACCTCCCTTTATGCAGCTCATCAGAGTACAACCATTGCGAGAATCATAAGATCCTTTACTGCGTGATGTCTCCTTCTTCCGGCAGTTTGTGAACTTCTACCTGACCACTTGTGTGATGTTAAAAATTAAATTGGTCGATTTCTCAAGTGGTCCAGTGGGGTAGATTTCCTTAACGGCTTGTACACAACCCACAAAATAGTAACTTCACGTTCAAAGACAGACAGATCTATGTTGTTTTGGGAGCACTACTTCCGACAGACTGCATTTCCATGGTGTTCCACAAAACGTGTGTCCATGTCTTACACAACTGAACTGTTTGCATCTGTTCCCCAATGTGGTCTAAACCACATCCTCTTTCATTTGTTGGCGCTACAAAATGAGAATTATGTAAGCTAGTGATTGGTAGCTATGAAATCAACGTTGAGTTCCACCTGTGCTGCCTTCCACCGCGAAACTGTCTCATAAACTCCAGGTTTTCTCGGATGGGGACGAAGAAAGAAAAAACGCAGTATTTAGGCTACCGCACTTGCTCCCATATGCCGCAAGCACCCTTGTGTCATTGCTAAGATCCATATTTCTAAAGGCCTGTGATTTTATTCACGCTAAATCACAGTACGGATCTGAGATCGGTTTCTGTTCGGTATTAATCAGCCAATTGTCTTGGTTAGAAAGGCTCCCACACATGGAATATGTAGGTCTCTTTTCGGGTTTCACATCTCTAGTTTCGTGTACGAGTGACCGGTGCGAGGGTGATACTGCTGAATATGTCGTTCACAACGCCATATTTCATAGCCCAGTAATCAGCTGCTTAGACCCATGCAAACAAACTCAAGAAGTCAGTGCATAGAGTGGCAAGCAAAGACCTTGTTTTTCGAAATAAAACTCTTGCAAAATAAGATGGACATGGGGAGCAAATCGCTTCACTCCAACTCTCGTGGTCCTGCTATTGGTCTCTCCTTTACTATTATGTGTCTCATAGTTCCTAAAGCTGCTTAAGTGATTGTTACTTCGTACTGAAAATATGTCTTTGAAATGGTAATTCGGCTGCTGTTCAATAGCTGTCGTCAGACTTAGACAAAAAAATAAACAATCAACAATAGCAGTCTCTTATCGAGGTCATAATATCTGTGAATACCTGAGAAGCGAAACGGCTGCGACAGAGTTAGACTGATCGAAAAACGCATTTAAGATCTTTTGGGTCAGTAAATTAGGAAACCCTTTGGAAAGGCGTAGAGGATAATGGTTTTAAAGACGAGAGGGGGAACAATGAGGACAGTTCGTGGTCAGGTAAAATGCTAGTCCATGTTGAAAAGTTCAAGCGAAATACAGCTGCTTCATTTTGGAAAACGCAAAAGGTGGGAGTAGCTCGTATCTGAGAAGGCGAAAAGGGGAAAAGACGAGAAATGACACTATCCAAATAGTAGAGGGGGCTGTGCTTCTACCGACATGATCTTAAGATAGTTATAATCTGTGGAATAGTTCTCTAAAGGACGCAGGAATACTTAGTAACACATGGTGCAAACCAGACAGCACATTCAGACCCTTGGACGTCCTAAGTGGAGTTCTGACAACCACCTGACACTTGTTCGAGTATGCATTTCTGTTCCTTGCTACTTCGTGCACGTCATCGAAGGCATGAGTCCCTTGACCTTCTGAGGATTTGTGTCAGTTCAGCGGTAGTGTTCGCAGTCCTTCCAACTCCAGCACTGCGACCGTCAACGAAATATTCTAGCATGAAATCTGAGTGAAAGTGGCCAGTTTTCTGAGGAATTAGAAGCGGAATTAAAATATCACTAAACGTGGTGGGGGCATAATGCTTCTGTGACAGTAAATCGGAACACATGGAATTGTTTTCTTAAACATTTTTGCCCAAAAATGGGTTGTGATATGCACTTTTAAATGGGTTCGATGGAAAAGTTCGTGTTTTTAACTTTAAGTAGTCATCAAAAACAGCTTTTTCGTCTGCCGTTCCACGTTGGTGCGAGATCCATTAGGAGTTGAGTCGGATAGACTCAAGTACTGCCCGTATGAGTTGTGAATAATGCCGTTTAAACACCCACTTTCGCAGTTAGCCGGTTTGAAGTCATAGTGTTTTATCGACCGAACTCCTTCGTTAGTGACAGTTGTTCAGGTAATGTGTGGCAAATACCCAAGAATCACATAAAAATTCATCGATTTCTGAAAGTTTGTCAAGAAGGGGCTTCTGCACTTGTGTCAATATCGTTGTATCCAATAATTCGGTGCTTGGCAACAGAGTGGTCTGAGATGATAATTGTTGCTGCTAAAATTTCCGCGTCCCATCCACTGCAATGCATGTCTCGAACACAGAATACACGCAGAAGGCCAAACCATACAGTGTGGACCAGATATTTCCCTCCTGACCAACATTAGAACAAATGTATGCAGCCTACCACATCATCCTTCATCGACTTTCATGTTTCATTTTGCTCACTTACTCTTGAGTTACTGACTCTGTCGCCGCAAACCAAGTGAAACTCCTTAAGGCCTATTACTCCTTGGTAAAAGTTCGGGTCCGGCTATACAGCTAGGAGGCCACAGAGTTCGATACCGAGTCTGGTGTACTATAGGGCTGCCACCTTTAGCCGATACTCTAACCTCGCCAACCCCTACTCACCTGATCAGGTATTGAGGAGATTCCCTGACGTCCTGTTAGGACCCAAAACTTGGATAGATGAATTGGAATAAGTTGATGTTATCGTCCTGCTGACTGATGACTAGAAAAAGCCCCAAAGTGTGCTGAATAACATAACGAAGCACCCGTAGTACTAGAAAATATCTTGTCGAGGGCTGTACAGATGTGTTTGCCCGGTCCCGCAACATAAGAGGTGAAATAATCCAGCAGGTTTCCGACTTCAGGCATCTTGGTTCCACCACTTTTCCCAATTATCCGGCGTATCAAAAAGCCGTCCATCCATCCGGTCTTGATGGACACTTGTGAAATACGACCTGTGCGAGTAGAGGATTTCCGAAAGTATAAAATAAAAGTCGCCAACTAGAGAAGCGTCTACTAATGAGATGCCCAGTCTTGGGATGGGTATGCACTAATATCCCCTGACCTGAATGACCTAAAGTACATGAATGACGCCTGAATTTTCGGGCAAGTTCGAAGATGCACATTTTAGGTTTCTATTATGCCAGTGGAACATATTCGAGCTTGACGTATAAAGATAGTCCGCACAAGCCTCGGCCTATAAATGATTCCGACGAAACTCCTAAAGTGCAGGCACTCTGCAGGGTCAAGTTTATTGTGGATTTTTCCGGTTATCTACCAATCCGATTTCCGACAAAATAGCAACAGTGAATCTGTTGTCCTTCTCGGTCTGAGTTGTAAACCTTGATGACTGTGTTCAAGCCTTGATCCCCTAAATATTCGTAACCCTGGTTTTCACACTCTCTCATATCGATTTCTTGTCAATTAGTTATCCACATTTGCTCTTTCACAATATCTAGTCACATTTATTGTTCTGACATTAGGCCGTCGGATACCGTGTCACGAAACTACATGAACTCGATTAGTCTTGCCGAGAGTCATTTGCTTACTTGTATAATTAAAAACAGTACACAAATATGGTATGTCTCGTAATCGCTAGACTCCTGACGTAAACTCTTGACAACAATGGTCGATCAACATACATGAACTGATGGCGCAGGGTACTTTCAATGCAATGTCTCCCGTTGGAGAGTAAAGCACATACGTGGTGGAAATTTCAATCAGAGGAATTTTCTGCCTTCCAAGTCAACTGGTTTGTGAAAGTATTCCCTCTTTGAAATAGGTTCGTTTGGGGGGAGTACTGTGTGTTATCGAATCAAATCATTTGCAAATCAATTTGGTTTTCACGAGATACGCAACTCAATTTTTCGTCTTCATGATATTCTACAAATGAATGTGCTGCACACAGGCCGCCCCATATTTCAGTTGGCACGATATTCGAGACATCGCGGTATATTTTTATAAACGAAACTATTCACAAGGTTGCTGAAAACTCTTCGACAGTCCACGAGAGATTCAGTTGAGTCTCTCGTGAAAACCAAACTGATTTGCAAATGAGTGTATTTCTCGAAAACAGTCCAATTTGGGTTCAAGTAGAACATAGGTTTGACGGAAACTCGGGAACTGCGCCTACCTGATGAGCCCCAAGAAGGGCGAAACCAGTCGTGGGCTGTCGAAGAGTTTACAGCAAACTTGTTAGTAGTATACTGTATGTTATGTTCGAATGTACCAGAAGGTAGGAACATTGTTGGAAGCTTATCGCTCTCCGAAAACACACCAAAAACGGTTTCAGCTTAACTGCTGGCATTCATGTAGCACTTTGATGAAGAAGATCATTCAGGAACTGACTGTCCCCTGAGGAGGCTAAATGCATGTACAGCAAAAGATGTTAATCACACCAAATCGCGCAATCATGGAGTCCATTTTCTTTGTTTCTAAAACACGTTTTCATCGTCCATAGATTATTTCTGTTTGCTTCACTGAGCTTTCCTAAATCCCAACCTGTTTCCTGTCCTCACCGCTCGGCGGTATGTCCCCGCTGTATTCCAATGAAGCGTGTAAAATGCCAGTCATGCTGTCTTTCGCATCCAACGTTATCTCCACTTGTCATCACGCCTTTCGTGGGCCAACTATAGAGTAACCCTGACGCATTAAACCTTGACAAAGTATTCAACCGTGCCAAAAACGGGGGCAACATATCGGTGGTTTGTGATGAGCTTCTAAAAATGCCACATTCTACTTTATGCTACAAGCCTGCAACTAGGCTGCTGTTTGTTGGCGACATTTGTAAGCAATTATAACTTGTGGTTTCTGTCATACATACCATTTCTTTTTCCGTCAACGATTAATTTGAATGACCGAGTCAATGATTTGCATTCAGCCGGCAAATCAGACCCCCGATTTTCAACAATCGAATTTTACCGAATATTGGGATTGATTCCGAATTTACAGCTACCCGTACCTTTTTCAACATTTAACAAGTAGCTGTCGTACTGAAAGCTAATAAATGTAATGGGCAAATCAGAAAAATTCATTGCATCCATCTGAAGCGAGCGGGTAGAAAACTTACACCGTGCTGTAGTTGTATTGGGGCAATCTCTGGTTATAGGTGCATAGACCTCTTAACTTTAATGCCCAATCAAATTGGTTGTTTCCCCTTTATTCATTTGAGCACTCACTTTGAAGTACACTGCTTCAGACCGAATAATGTGATGGGGTCAGGTGAAAGAGGCGCACTCAATTCGTCCATATACCCACTCACTGACTGGTCCGATCGTCGGACGGTTTAACACAAATGGCACCCTGCAAGTTGGTTTGTCACCTTTCATTTTTTGATATTGATGCGCCTTCTTCCGAAACGGACAGGTATCTGCTGCTCGCCAATTTTCTTCATGAGTTTTCGCGCTCGCTTCTCAATATTCCTTAAATCGGATTACGGTTACCACGAAATTATCGAGCCCAACTTAGAAAGGCATCATTCTACCTCTGATTTGAAAATGCCAGTAAAATTATTGCACGATTCCATTAAGAATGCACTTGTTTGACGTAACGACCTATGCTACTGATGAAAATTGCGAGTAACGTCTGTCTGCAACTCAGATCATCACCCCGCAGCTAGTTAGAGGTTACTGAACTGTTCGAATGTGTTTCTTTATTGACGTCAAATTTTTATCAACGATCAGGTAAGGTCACAAACACGCCCAAGCATCTTGAGGTTCTCAAACTTTATGGAAATGGGCTTTTTGCTTTTGTTTTGGCTAGTTTGCAACCGCTCTGTGTACGTTTTGCAACAAACGATTGCTCATTCGTAAGCGTCTTGCCTTCCTATGGAAGCCGGCGGGATGTTCCAAATTGAATCTACGTGATTTAGCTGACCTTGATTGCACCATATTGAACTGAGGCAAACCAAAGGTACGGGATTATTTATCTGTTGCTAGACAGAGCAGAGAGCGAACGCATGTTTGAACAAACGTTTTTATTCACGAATGACGGAGATTGCTAAAACACTTCGCCACATGAAGCATAAAAGCGCTTCAGATCCATGATGTTAGACGATTTGTGTCCCACAGGGTTTGACGTTAACAATCCGCGTTGAGGGAATAGGTGAGTGAGGTCACATTCCAACATGGTCACTCGAACTAACTACAGCAAAATGCTTGTGCATAAGCCAAAAAGCGAATTGCGGTATTACTAAAGCGGTGGCGATTCACGGCTCGCCACTCAGTTAGCAATGGTCTCGTAGCTTAGCTATAATTGGTTTGTTCATCAGTCTCGGCATCTTCAGAACTAGGCTTTAACGAGAAAAAATCATCGCCAAAATGAAATCTCCATCCGATTGAAAGGGATCTCAATAGGTTACTTTGAGTATCGCTCAAATAGATTCCGGCTCAGTTACCACTAAAGACAAATCATTTAGGATTCCTATGACGGTCCGCTGCTTTCTGTCGGAATTAGGATGTTATTATTGTCTTTTATTCACTGTCTGATGCGAGTTTTAGTAGGTTCAGACGGCTTCCTAATTAATTTCTTGCTTTTCTTGTTTTCTAAGTTATCGTAATGCAGTGATATTAGTGATATCAACCTTGATCTTTGCACTTTACTGGACCCTCTGTCCAACTTGGACCCCATCTCTATATACATTCCGATTAAAGCTCAGTCTTCCATCGCGTTACTGGGAACCGCAGATGCAGACAGGGTTCCAATTGGCCATTTGTTTATGACGATCCTCAGACATTGCAGGGCCGGTAGGGGAGAGTTTCTGGCGTACTTCGAAAGATCTTACATGTTGCTTACAGGAAACATTATACTCCAGTATACTCATCGAGGTAGCAAGCAGGTGGTTTAGTCTTATTCGGGATTGACCAGTAAGCCTTCAATTTTAAGTGCATACCTTACATTGTGGCAACCAGAAAATTTTGACTTTGAAGAGGGGCGCACAATTTTTTTGGAATGATTCCTCCTATTCATGATTGTTCATCTCGCCTGCATGCTTCGTTTGAGGGTAAAGATAATTTGGAAAATAGATTTAGAAGTGTGTTTCAGGCTACGTTTACTATTGTTTTTAAACACCTGATTGCTGCTAAAAACGCATTGGTATACTACTACTCATTTGTGTACTACACAACAGCATCAGTACCACATTGAATTACACACACATTTAACCAGGAGCTAATGGGATTTGGGTTTTTTGCAACTTAGATAACTACATGCCTTGTGATAAAGTGAGAAACAATTTCTTTCTTTATGTGAATTCCTGTAACCAGAATGCTCTGTGAAACTGGAACGTACCGACGTACTGCGCAAGTAGCTTCTCCTTTGCCAGTATGGTTTCTCAGACATCACCCAACAGGCCAAAAACATCCACTGTTCAACGTTCCGCCATAAAATAACAATGATATCCGTTAGCATAAACATCGTTTTCTCAAAACGAAAGAATATTTTGGTTTCCGAAAAAATTTTGCTGACGATCGGCAGATTTATTGCTGGGCAACGTTTCGCCTTTGATACAAAAACCTCGTCAGGCCAGGTGCTAGGTTCCGAGGTTGGTCGAGATTTAAGGCGGAAAGAGAACCAATCAGCTATTTCAAGCCAAATCTCTGTTGGGTGTGGGCCGAGGGATTCTTGCGTGTTAGGGTGAGTGAACAAATGTTGAGTCGATGGGGAAACCTACATGTGTTTGTGTCCAGCCTAGGGTCTAGTTCTTCTGGCTCGGTTCATTTGATGGTCCCTCCTGAACGTCGTTTTTTCACCCGATTGAATATTTTGGTTTCTGGTGGTATTACAAGGTTTGTTCTAAGACATCAGCTGTCCAATCTTCTGTCATGTAAACTTCTAGCGTTTACCCGCTTCCAGAAATGATAGGTAGACATAAATTTCTCAAATGTGTATCTTCTTCAATGGTTGGGCGTCAGAAATGTGAAAATTACCCATAAAATTTGAGGACGCAAGTTCAAAATCCGGAAAACACAGAATGATCAGGGTTCTCTTGAACAAGACGTAAAGGAAAAGTACTTCAACCTGGTTGGCAGGTCACTGAGGTAAAAGTGACATGCATTTTGCAAATGTGATTGAATTACTTGCGCTGTCCAATCTGTGGTCAAATGCTCTCGAAGGGCGCCTATGAAGCAGTGAGCTGTTTTCAAACCAGAAGACTTGTTTCCAGACCTGCCGAGGGCCTCACCTCTCCACTTGTTCCCTGCTTCATTCTGTTCACATTCTGCGTTGTATGTAAACCACTGAGGTTCGGATGTATGTTGCCGGACGATGGTGGGACAGGTTGTCTATTGAGGCCGAATCCTTCATTTATTTGTTGCTGATGTTGATTTTGAAATAATCTGGACATCATTTCAAATGTTGTTGAATTCAGAGCTGACAGAATAGCCCTGGGATCTGGTAATGAATCGGATGATCTTGTCGGATTAGGTTTGCTCATGGATTCGAATGCGCTACGAGCAATGGACTGTACGGAGTCGGTGTAATCGCATTTGGAATAATGTGGTTCCTTGTCTGGTTTCGACCAGTGTCGTTCATTTTTTTGGGACGTTGCCAGAGGAAAATTTATTGGGAAACCGTTACCTAGACCCATTGGAGGGATAAATGTCGGAGAGCCCGTTTTAACGACTGATAACGGTCTATCCCTCATGAAGCTCTCGTCGAAAATTCTTTGTTTTGAAGGACTGGGTGAGAGATTACAGGTGCCGGTTGTCATCGCTTCACTGGATTTAGGGCCGTTAGTAAGGCCTGGGCGTATCGATTGCGAAGTTGAACAGAACTGTTCAGAGGTAGTCCGTGTACCAGAATGCCAGGAGGGGGTAATGTGGGATGAAGATGTAGGATACTTTGCAATATGTGAGAAAAGAGGTGGTAAATTCAGGGGAATCGGACTCTCTGGTTCTAATAGAAAGGAGGATCGAAGTTTTCCCAAACCACCTGGTTGCAAGCAAGCTGCCGAAAAGAGCACGCCCGGTCTTGTTGAGGTGTGAGTACTTCCAACCGAGGATTCAAAATCAGTCGTAGCTTGACGCTTCCACTTATTGCGACGGTTTTGAAACCAAATTTTAACTTGTGTTTCAGTCAGTTGCAGCGTTTTGGCCAGCACCACCCTTTCCGAACTAGATAGATATCGCTTTGCATTAAATGTGCTCTCCAACTGGTGAACTTGGTTGCGCGAGAACACCGTACGCGTCTTCTTTTTTCGCCGTAATAACTGATTCGATGTGGTAGAATGTAGCATGACGCTTGAACCTGTGTCAGCGCACATGCCATGTACGTGACGAGCTGAAGACAATGGTGAAAATAGGGACCAAAAACATTATGGTGGTAGATGAGGATAGGTTCTAGGTTCTTTGCGTATGTGTAAAGTTTATCAGAACTGGAAGGGCAATTCAGCTCCTCCTAGAATCATCACAGTAGGCCCAAATCCCGGTCGTCCAAATGGCAGACCATCATCATCATCATCATCATCATCATCATCATCATCATCATCATCATCATCATCATCATCATCATCATCATCACCATCATCATCATCATCATCATCATCATCATCATCATCATCATCATCATCATCATCATCATCATCATCATCATCACCATCATCATCATCATCATCATCATCATCATCATCATCATCATCATCATCATCATCATCATCATCATCATCATCACCATCATCATCATCATCATCATCATCATCATCATCATCATCATCATCATCATCATCATCATCATCATCATCATCACCATCATCATCATCATCATCATCATCATCATCATCATCATCATCATCGACAGCATGACATCAGGGTTCAACACCGATGCTTCACTGCCGTAAAATGGCAGACCACAGTCTTATTAACTCGTTCACGCAGATCACAGCCTACAACAAGTCATAATCAACAGAAACCAAGTAATTTTCGGTCCTTTATCCTAACTCTACATCATTAGGGTCTGGAAATATCAGCCCTTAATTCGGCAAGATCGTCACCGAAATGCATGTCACCTTCGGTGAGGTTCTCCTCAGAAGTATTCTTTGTAGAATTAGCAGCGTGCGGTTTATAGTGGAGGCTAAAGTTATGAGTTCAAATTCTCGAAAGAGATGACAACGAAAGATAAGTGCAGTGTGATTAGTTTCCAGAAATCACGGTTCATTGTAATCAAATTAACTGTTGATCGCCAGGGTTTTGTTGTTGACCCGCTCCTCAGGATGCCACTGGATTTCAAATGAGATCCAATGAGGAAGAAGAGGGGTTGTATTGTCTCTCACGTGACTGTTTTACATTTCCTCATATTCTGTCGGCCTACACTCTAGAACTCTGGTACTCAAATTTACACGGATTTTGCTACTTCCATCCGCACAAGGGTTTTCCTTTCCATGGTGACCCATAAATTGGTCATCTGACAGTTTGGCCTGTTTTGTCGAGCAGTAGATACCATCAAAAAGCGGATTTCCCGTTGGTGACGTTTCGAGCTTCAGTACACCAAATGGCTTCACCAACCGACGAACTCTTTCAACCGATATTCAGTACCAATTTTGTCCGCTTGTTGAAAGAGATCTCGCAGAATGGTTCTCCATTTGTTTTAAAACATTATTGGTATGGAGTTCTACTCACTTAATTTCACGGAGGTCTTATATGAAAGTTAGAAGCTGTCTACCGATTAGTTACCAAGCTCTTCTAAGATCTCAAAATACCTTTTTAAGTTCTTTTCGGTCTACTGCTAAAAACTACCCTCCTAGCTAAAGCCTGGTTGAAAGGTTTTCAATTACTTTCATCATGCATAATTAATACTCTTCTATGATATAAAAGTACCAGGACAGTGGAAAGTCCATCTCGAGCAGCTGCTATGTCCACATTCACGACTGGAACAATTCCACAGGAGAGTGGCATATCGGTTCATCACTTGAAGCGCTAAATTTATGCAGTCAACAGTAAATTTTAACCACCGGAAGTTTTTATTCTTCACGCACAAACACTTCCCATGCCCGGGGGGGCATCGTATGCTTTTAAAAACACCAGCAAAGGCCAATGCGGTAATCCGTATCCCGAAACAACCATCCAGAAGACCTAAGCTAATTTTCCATCGCATTTTCGATTTGGACTAGCCGTTCAAACGAGTCCTTCGAAATAACACTTCCTGAGCAATTCCACGTCTAACCGCGTGATTTGTCTGCACAGCCTGCGGGCATGGATGAGCCGGTGAAAGAGCGACGGGCATACGGTGTTCACCCTACTGAGTGACGAAAATGGTTCAGTTTTTTTGGTGTCTATCGATTTTCTCACTACAGATAGGAATTCTATCAAACAGTTGCTGGCAGTTCCCCTAAACATTCAACAAGACAATCGGTTTGTGCGCATCAGTCCTCTAAGTTGCATTGTGTGGCACCAGTATTCTTTACAGGTAATCAGATGGCCCGCCTGATAACATCGTCATTTTGCTCTTCAAGAGGTCTCAGCTTCCATTTACACGAAGTGTTTTGGGACACTAATGCTGCGTGCATTAAATCGTGATGGCATTCTAGACGTAATATACTTCTCATCATAAACGAGAGATTCAGCTTCGTTCCAGGTGAGTCACCCATAAACCAAGTTTGTTTGCACATGCGTGTAATTCGTCAATCTTGACGTCACCACCAAATGGCCGGCAGAACATCACCAAATAAGCGGGCTTATCACGTTTCTTGTTAAATGAACTTCCTCGCGGCGTCATGTTTGAACTTGAGCTTATTTCGCTTGATGAGTTTCCCTTTGTCAGTTTCGATCATCCTCCCTCGCTCTCCTACCATATAACCGTGACAGACCTTCCACTTACTGTGGCAATCAATCAGAGCAACGCCTCTTAATTTGATATTCCCGTAATCCTGCCTATTCTTCTAGACTAAATTAGTTGACAGAATAACCCAGCGACCCTTGTTTGCTACTTCCCATCACGGTGCCCACCGCTGTCCCTGCAAACAGCATTAACAGAAATGGAAGTGGTGATACCCCACCTACCCTAGTATCTCTTACCGGATTTTTTCGAAATTCCTATCTCTGTAGAATACCATTGATTCAAAGGCACGCTTTATTCAAGATATTCGAGACTAATCGAGCTGACCTTAAGACTGGCTAGACATCCAGGTTAACAGGCCCACCATGTAAAATACGGATGCAAAGTTGACAAAGTTGTAATAAGAAACCACTTTAGCGAATATACACTCATCTGCAAACTAATTTGGTTCTTTCGAGAGACTCACCTGGAACCCAGCTGAATCTCTTGTTTATGATGTTCTCAGGCAATGGAATGTGCTGCACCAGGCCGCCTCATGTTTCAGTCGCTACGATATTTGAAATATCGCGATACATGTATATTTGTAATGTACTACTCATAAGGTTTCTGTCGATGAATTTTCAGCAACCTTATTAGTAGTACATTACAAAGAAACCACTTTATTACTATCCGACCCTGGAGGTTGTTTAGTTATTACTGTTAAGTTACCCTTGTCTCACGAAGTTTCGTAGTTGATAGAATCGTTAAAACTCTCAACATCATATATATCCACCCCACTTGCTTTCTGTAGCAAGCCAACGGGTTATATTGGGAAACTGGATAGTTTCCGTCAACTGGTCTCCGTTATTATAAGCTGCATAGATATATGCATCAAAATGCGAATAACGTCACACATGAGTTATTCTACTGTTGAGCTGAAGGGCTTACCATGTGCTGAGGTTTCCGGTGCTCTGTTCTCAGAAGTCCAAGAAGTTCTTTCAAGGCCCATGGAATCGGACGCCTCCTCTTTCGGTTCCATTTCCAAATCGTCATCGGTCTGCTCAGCGTCACCTAGTCTATCCAGTTGCCCGGCGGAGGGTTCTTTCAATCCTTGTGACTGGTCTCCACGATTAATTGCATTTTCAATATTTTGCATCGTCCTGGGATTACTCATTTCGTGCATGCTTGCTATTGTACTAAGACTGAATAGATCTGATTTCCGCTGAGTTAAACCGGCGGTTGACACAGGTAGTTGTCCCTGATCCTGGTGTATCCAAGGGCTTTGACTCAAAGGAGATGAACTATTGCCGTTTGCAGTGACTACTGGCTTGTACATCCATCTGAACGCGTCCAAAGTCGACGAATTTCGCCTTTGAACCGAAGACAATAGCTGCTCGTGCTGTTGGTTGTGATTTGTATCCCCTGGAATTCTCAGTCGCTCTTCTCTTTCGTGTGTGGAATTTTGCGATTCAATTTTATGCACAAGCAAATTGGCCAGTTCAAGAAGTTGAGCTGAAGTTAGCATTTTCGCCAAGTTTGGCGAGGATGTAGGTTCCTCCATCCCTATAGTATTGTCCAAATTGGTATCACTTCGACCGTCTTTCGGCCACCAAGTTGAAGCTTGTTTAAACCATTCCAGAACAGATGCGATAGGCATTTTGTCCATTTCCAGTGGTTCTGTTGATCGATTATGCGTACCTTCTAGATACGTATTAACTTCGTCCGAGATATTGTTATGTTTTTGGTCAAAGGTGACGCAGGGTCCACGCAGATTTGCACACTGGTCGTCTTGAAGAGCTGTAAAGATGAAACAATTTTATTTTGATGTTTGCCGGTGAAAAAGGTATGATAAACTATTTTCACAAAACACGACATACAAGTTCGGCGAAAACAAGCTACCGGTTTGGCTCTTTGGGGCTCATCAGGCAGGCCCAGTCTTTGAATCTGCGTTAAATTCATTTCGTAACTGAGCACCAAATTGAACGTGCCAAACACTCGCAGGCAAACCTACCTGACGATGACAGAAATTTGCCTGAAACTCTGTTTAATAAAGTGAATTTCAGACGTTTCTCTACACATTGTGCCCGTCGGAACAGTTCTTCTCCGGCCTTCGTACAAACTCTGACTGGTCCACACCAAACGGGGGTGTGCCGGAATCCAGGATCGCTCTTATTAAATTTGTTGGTACTGCCTACCCTTATCCATAATTTCACCCAGGACGTCTGAGGTACGAGGTAGACGTGCTACCGCCACACCGACAGCGCATTCTAGAAACATCTGATCTAACACTTCGGAATGGTCCACCAGAAAATGCGAAGTCTACCAGTTTCACAATTATCTCACATCAACCAAAAGCCTCCAGAAGTTTTCAAGTGTCCGTGGCTTCATTTGGCCTATAGGTCCTATCAAGCGGGTAAAACGTTGCTTCGACCTATTTTGAGGCTCTGAGCTAGCCAGTCACAGCGCTTGAGTATGGGCATATTCTCTCTTTCAAATTTGGTAATTCAGGTACATCCAGCGTTCGCCCCGCATGTTAGGTTACGGCAGCAAAGCATCAATGTTGAATACTGATATTATGCTGCTGCTGTTGACGACAATTTATGTCAAATGATCGAGGTTTTCCCCTTGAAAGGGCCAATAATTGGGAATTGCCAATGACCCTTAGGAATAGCGGAACTAGAATTCGGTTCCTCTCTGTTCTGGTGCGAATTAGCCATTTTAATTGTCTCAAGAGAGTGAGAGAAGTGTTCAGTTGTAAACCTCAAAATACAAAGTCGACTAGTATGAATGGTAAGTGACCGGTCCTGGAGAGACAAGCAACTATACCTCCTGACTTGAGCTCACCAGGCTGGTGCAACAGCGTTTGATCGACTGACGCTCATGTACGAATTCATTATCATAATTTCAAAAGCACTTGGCGCGCAGCTTCGTGATTCAGCTGCATTTTGTCCATTTTATTCAGTGCACCCAAATCACTGGAAATCAGGCTATTTTTATGAATATGGTGTGTGCTCCCAAGGAAATTCTTCAAGTTAGGTCAAAAATCACTTGCCTGGCCATGTGAATTTTAACGTAAAAGCCAGGCTACTGAATCCTGCAAAACCTATCTGGTGAGTTCCAGCCAAGATAGAGCATAAACTCAAGTATTTACGCACAGCATACGATGCCGCAGATTCTTCGATAATCAGAGACTGATGAAAAACACTGCGAAAGATAGTACGGAGGGAAAAGGCCCTGTAGAGGATGCCCGCTTTGTGCAATGGGTTGCTTCCACCCAGACAAGATGTGTGTTCTTTGGTCCATCAAGACCAGGATAGCCATAATGTTTAGGCGAATCAACAACGCCACAACAACGAACACTCAATGAGTGAAACGGCAGCTTTCAACCCAGTCACGTCCTGTACTCAGAAGTGAAATACCCAACTGATGCGCGATCTACTGAGGCTCAGTTTTGAGCCCGGCAGATCCATTTATGTTCTGTATCGTTGAGTTGTGCTTAGCCAGACATTTTTTGAACCCCCCAACAGTGGACAAATGAGAACTTGATGCTAGACAGTGTACCCGGCTGGCTAGGTTACGCTGTCCCTCCTTACGGTTTTACCGTTAACAAAAGGTCAAAACATCGCGCCTAAATCAGTCAATTTTTATTAGGAATGGTCGGCAAGGAACGTATTTTTTATATATTGCGGATGTTGGTGAGAATCCATGGAAAACGAGGATATTCGTAAGGAAAATCGGAGAAGGACAACGGAAGTGGTGGACTATGCCATGTATGTCTGCGATTTTCAACCTGGGTTGTGATTGTCTTGATTAATTATTTAAGCATTCATTGAGCGTTCATTTTCTTAGAAAAGCAGAAAACCATTCCTCATCAACTACAAATAAATGACCGGTTGCTGCTTGTCATTGGTGTGATTGTGTACAGAACCATTATCGCTTTTCTTGAATGTTCTATTGCTGAAGGCCCATTTGTGAAAACCTGGGGGACAGTCCAGGTGACGGCACACCACTTACCACGATTATGGCCCGAGAGTGTATAAACAGCACAAGCGCCGCGTTATACGCTTTCCACACAGATTCTACCTCACTTCTTAATTTAGATGTAGTTTAGGATCCCATACGTACGTCTCAAAGCAGCTTAGTGATGGCTTGTGCAAGAAAAAACGTGAGAATCGATAAACATGTGCTTTTTCAATTGGTCTACTGTTACCTTATTTGATTTTTGCTTTTCTTAGATAGTGAAGTGACGTCTTGCAAAATACTCACTCCGCCTGATGGATCTTCTTAAATGGGCATTGCTGTGACAGTTTGTCTTTGTTCTCAGAACCGCATCGTGTGGTTAGTTTCCTGGTTAGTATACCGAAAATAGGAACTCATACGGAATTCGAATAAGTTGAGGGGCTAACATAAGAATTTTCGACCAAAAATTTGAGTACTGGAGACTCAGAGTATGAACGATTATCATTACGTATCTCCTCAGTTATAACCTCGGCCAGGGGCGTATAAGTTCGGAAATTCTGTGCATAAATCGGTTAGAAGAACCACATATTCAACGCATTAACTGAGTGCGGAAAACAGTGCCTTTAATTTTTACAAACTCTAGACTTTAGCGAATATACACCCATTTGCAAACTAATTTGGTTCTTTCGAGAGACTCACCTGGAACCCAGCTGAATCTCTCGTTTGTGATGTTCTCAGGCAATTGAATGTGGTGCACCAGGCCGTCTCATGTTTCAGTCACTACGATATTCAAGATATCGCCTGAAATATTGCCTGACAACATCACAAACGAGAGATTCTTATGAGTATACATTACAAAAACTCGAGACTTGTTTACGCACCATAGTGGTTGTCGGGTCTTGACCGAATAAATTTTGAACCAAAAAATTTTAATGCATTTTGACAATTGGTTTGTGATGTCAACGACAAACTACTTCAGGTAGAATGGATTGAATGTGCACAATCTTGATCCTAGAATATACTCTTAGCCAGTTCTATCACGCAGTTTTTCCAAACTGTGACAGAACTAATCAGGTTGAAGCCGAAACACTCTAACAAGTGCCAGATTCTAGGACTTGACAGCGTGTCAGCGATGCTCTTTCACCTTTCCAACAGTCTTGGTGATGCAGTTTGTTCTAACCGTTCCGTACTTTTAACGTGCCCTTAACATTGTTACTGCGGTCAGGGCAAACGACGTCGGGTTTGTAATGAAATCCCCTGAAAGCTACCACGACAACAAGCAAGTTTAGTCGAGATGGGGCTGTGGTCCTGCCTCTGCTCTTCTTCGGCCCTACGGATGGATAAAACACCAGCGGGGCTTGAAACTGCGACTAGTGCAACACCATGGTAACGACTGTTCATGATACCCTAACTGGCCGATTAAGGCATAATTTGAGAAGTGCGGATTGAAGATCACAGGGTGACAAGCCCTGTTTGGGCCAGTTGAGACTTACACTAGGAAAAAACCCGCGTGTTAAGAGATCACTACCAGAACGTAAAAAAACAGCGAACGAAGGGGCACAGGATTGCAGACAGCTTTGCAATCAGTAGGGTGAAAAACCTTGGATCACGAAGATCAAGGATGTAAGGGAGCAACCAGATTATTGGTACTTTAGAGACAATGAAGGCCACACAATTCACTCTGTCTTTATTGCTGCTTTGGGTTCCAGCAGTCGCAGTAAGCACCAAAGTTAAACAGTGGTCGAAAGAGCGAATGAACCGAACTATTTTCCTGAGGTATTCACTGGTGCAAAAAAGCAGCTTCATGATAGTTGCGGGTAAGATCGCTGAATGAGAATATGCTTTTGACTGGTCCTTCAAGGGCTCCCTCCTAACAGTAAATCATCATAATTTATTAGATGACAACGCCTGACTAGCCAGTTGCGAGGAGACGGGAAAATCAGAATCTTTCCATTTCACGGCCTTCTCTTCAAGGACAACTTCTCCAGTTCTACCTTTCATCTTTGATGCAGAACCAAGATATGGGATGTTCTGCCTCTGAAATTCGATCGACCATTTTTTATTCGGAATGATTTTATTTAGTTCCGTTTTGAGGTTATTTTTGGACGAAATACGCACGAACTGGTACAGAAAGCGCTTGCTAACAATGATCGGTCCAAGAATGTGAAAAAAACGATAAGCGATCTAAAATACGGAGCACAGAATTTGTGGAAAGTAGCGTGGTTTAGCTCTGACTGACGTTTTCCCCTATTTGTTCTGTTCGCAAATTTGAACGCAAAACTGGGAGTCACATTTTACAAACATAAAGCAAAACATAAGTGGAGAAATCAACCCCACAATGGTAGTTGATCACGACATACCTAAACGATCCTTTATCTACGGGGAAAAATATAGACTAATCAGACAGTGTGAACGAGTTTAAACACCCGTCTTCAGGTTAGTCAAAGCACTGGATATTCCGCTACCAGTTTTGGGCATCATTAGGTAGGCCTAGTTCTGAATCGCCATCAACCTTACTTTTGAAGCGAACGCCAGGTTGCGACGACACTCATTTACAAATTAGGTTGATGGGAGAGTGGGCTAGAATTCACCTGTACAGTGAACTGAATATACACGTGTATTTCAGTCATGCCACTCGTCAGCACCAAATTAATTTAAAAATGTACGTAAATAATATTAGATGTCAGTGTAGATGAGGAACATGGAAACACGAGGACTAGGATTGAAATCAGTAGTGAGTTGTCCAGGATTCTTTATCAGTCATACAAAGAGTATTGAATGAATTTCATTCCAAACGAAACATGAGGCGGGCTTCTTGGAACACATTCACATGAAGAATACTCACAGACGGAGTTTGTTGCTTGTAGATCCTTTCAAGAGAAATTGGATGTAACTTCAGGAATGATTTTGAAGGAACTTCTACGAGGAAAGCGGCCAGTTAACTTCCCAACCAGAATTCGAATATTTTGAGTTGCTTATATTCACCAAACCCTGACTATTAGAAATCCTCAATTATTTGCATAACTCGTGAATGGAGCGTTTGTGTTCGCCAGACTCGCACGTGTGTTTCCGACTTCATATGCCGGACAGAAGCATACGACACCATGTGAAGCCAGTGAGACATTGCCGTCAAACGTGTCGGAAAGGTTTAACTTGCTTTCGCGAACTATAGACATTTGCAAACTCGGTTGGGCTTCACGGGAGACTCACGTGAATCCAAGATGAATGTCCCGTTTATGGTGGTCCACTTCAACTGGATATTTTTTAACCGCCACATCATTTTTCATTTGGTACGATATCCGAGATTCCGCAGTATATTTTCTTAGAGGAAACTACTCACAGGGTTGCTGAACTCCCTTCCACAGCCCACAACTGTTCTCGACCTTCTTGAGGCTCATCAGGTAGGCGCAGTTCCCGAGTTTCTGTCAACCTTATGTTCTACTTGAACCCAAATTGGACTCATTTCGACAAATGTACTCATTTGCATATCATTTCGGTTGTCATGATGAATCATCTTAATTTATCGTTTGTGATGTTCTTCAACTGAATGTGCTGACCAAAGGATCTCTCAGGTTGCAGCTAGCACGATATTCGAGATATCGCGCTACATGTTCTTGACGGAAAACACAAGTCATGGGTCGTCGACAGTCCACGATCGGCTCGCCCGTCTTGGGGCACATAAGGTAGGCACAATCTCGAGGTAGAACGTAGGGTTGACGGAAGCTGGGGGGGCCTGTACCAGCCTGATGGATCTCTTAAGATGAGCGAAACCGATCTTGGGCTGTTCAAGCAACCTCATAAATAATGCTGTGTCAATAAACTATACTGCGTTATCTTGAATACCGTATCACCTGGAACACGAAGCGATCATTGTTCAGCACATTCAGTTGAAAAACATCCTAAACTGGAGACCCTAAACTAGAGCCCCTCATTCACACGAGTGCGATTTGCAAATGAGTGTATTTTGTCAGATCTGTGAGCAGTTATGGTGTTCTAAACGGATCGCACAATCAGAGATAAAAAAAGCTCGGTCCACTTACTTCCGGTCTCAGCAAAGCTCGTATTCATGAACGTGGTCTGGATGGACAGAGATCCGTCATCCGTAAGTCCAGTGTTATTAGGAGGATTCATCGTGGACCGTTTATAAGCATTACCAGCCGATGATTTGTCAGTAGTATCCAAAATAGACAGAATAGAAAAACCTGATTTCCCGTCCGGTAGGAAACGTTCTGATGTTTCGTCCTTTTCAAAATATGGGGTATCTGGTGATTCGCAGCTGAGAGAAGACTGCCTTCCGACAAGCATTTCGAAGTGAACTATCAGCTCCAAGGCAAGACAAGCCAGATCGCGTTGCGGTGATGAGGTGGAGAACGGTTTCGCTTTTGATACTTCGTATTTTCTAACTAAACACTTCCCACCCCCAAACTACGTTTATGATTTGCATATTGGCGCTTTGGTTTGTGTTTGCTTGCCCAATTTTGAGTGATTCGCGGAGTGACAAGAATAGTTTCCTAACCTCATTTAGCCCTCAGCACCCCCAACAATCCAGTCTGATGGAGACTTTAGATGCGTGTGCGTGTGTGTATGGGTGTGTGCGAATTCGCCTTGCTTGTATCCCTGCCTTCTCTTGCCCGCCTTTCCTGATTTACTCTGCGTCTGCAATCACTCCGCCCCAGATCGTGCGTTTGTGTCGACCAATCAAACGACTTCAATTTGGTGAGACGTGTTAATCCTAGATGAGCAAGTCTCGGCATTTGTGACATAAGTTGCCTCAATCTAAACACCGATTGACGGCCGGTTTGTTAGGTTGTTGGTAAATGAGAACTGGCCGGTGTATGGCAATGTGTGAGTGCTGGTGAGGGCTTGATGCGACCCGTAGCCAAGGCGTACAGATAGACACACAGTGGTAAGGATGTAAGCCGATTTAACCGTGAGAGGAACCGAGATGGAGAGAAAAACTTGCTTCGTGTTGGTAAACGTGTTCATAAAAACATCTTTATGTAATGTAATCATCCATAGGACAAGATAGCAAACCCGGGTTTGATTTCGCTTTGACTGCTCGTACACGTGTCCCCACTGAAGACTGAATCCTGTTCGTCTATTTGTTAGTTCATTGAGTGTCGGAGTAATTCAGTGTGTGGAATTAACAATGGGGGCCTGCAGGTGACACTGAGAGTTTTGTGTTTTGTCCACCAGGTATTTTGGCCCCTCACCTGTTTGAAACATTCTCCAAGATAACTCAGTGCAATAACTACTTATGTACTATCCAGTTCTGAAAAAACCGATCGGGAATTCGGCTTACACACATGACGCGAGATAACCTGAACAAATAGTGTACAGGGAATAAGGTCGGTCTGTCGTACTAGTGATGGTAAGTTAGACGGTAGATCTTGAGCTGAAATAAAGCGAAAATACACCCAAGCAATCTAAGGAGACAAACTCAGTAAAAAGAAGACTTCTTTAGGCAGTTCATGCATAGAAGCCAGAACGGCCGTTGAAGCCCTTTTGAGTATCTAACATCACCCACCCAATCGTGCAATGATGATGTCCCCAAGCGTGGTGACTATAAACGTTTGCAAGTAAATTGCCATACTCGGCGAACAGATCGCCAGTCACCTTATCTACACCCACCATCACGAATCCATCATCTTATTCTTTGTTAAGTTTTGTTTGCGTTTTTTGGATGCATTCAATAGGACATCTTACCGATGGACACAGTCACTCTGATAAAGTTGCCAAACCGGAAGATAAGCTATATATATATATATTGTTCGCCAGCGCTTTCAAGCCCACATGTTTGAGCAATCCTGTGGCATAATGCTCAAAATTGCCTGAATAGGGTGCGTCAGGTAAACCGTGCCTAAATCCATTGGATTTATCTGCATAAAGCGCACAGTTTGATTCGAAAATCCCTGGGTGCTGTGATCGGGGGTAGAGAGTTTGAACTTGGAAATCAGCCAACCGAATCCTATCGCATACATCCGGCGAGGCCGAGCCGAGGTGGAGAGCTTCTGCAAGCACTTGCGCTTCACAGTAATCCCTAGCTTTTGTGATCATGAGGTTCCTCCGGAACAATTCTGATAGTCCACTATTTGTCAAATCTTGGATAAGTGCTTACTCATCTAGATAGGTTACACAACTCTTCTGTTTAAATACAACTCGGATATTATGACTAGGCGACTTTTTGAACTGAGCGCACTTAGATAACAATCGAAAAAGAAGATGTACCGGAAGTGGAATCAACGAGGATGACCTTAGCGTCCTAATATTATGGTACCCTCCAACTGAGCTGTACCGGATATGGAATGTTCGGTAGTGGATCTTAGTGGGTTTTTTTTCAGATATCCTTCGACTAAGCCATCGGTATGATCAGATCTTAAATGAGTGTGAGACAGAAATTTAGTTGGATTTGATGCTTTCTGGTGGCTTTAGATTGCAGTATGATTGGTAGCCTTGACATAACCGTAGTGGAACAACAGTCCCACGATGACATTCTGATAGTGCGTGGAACAAATCGTTATTAGCTAGATGTTTAATTCCACCGATACCGAACCTGATATTCAATGAGTGCTTCAATTTGAATGGAAGCCTGTTGAACATTCAGACATGGGTTGCCTATGAATCTGTGGGCCCAGACAAAAACCAAGCTAATTAGAAGTGTTCGATCTAGGGTCCAAACTCACCCCCTAATCAAGTTGAGTTACACACAGCACGAGAGAACAAACATGGTCTAATCAAAACCATTAGGGTCAATATTATAGAAAAATGTGACATCAAAAAGACAACTATCACAATAGGTGGTTGTAGTGTCCGCAGGTCCTCAGTTTTACAGGCAAGTATGCAACCCAATTAATTCTACCCAAGACTAATCAACAAATAACTGAGCTAAATTAACAAGTGTTACTAAGGCAACAAACATGAAATCATACCTGTGCTCCTCATTTTGTTACAACTTATGGGGCAGTTAATTAATTCCCCACCACAAAACATCAAATTCCAATTGTCTATGAAATACCTGACTGACAGCTACCTATCGACTGGTGCGATTTACAAACCTACCATTCTGTCCGCTCATTAACCTAACTGAAATGTTAATCAACCCCCCCTTTCCTACACACACAATGCATACATACAAACAGTAGTAAAAAAACACATACATACGTACACACGCATGTTAGTACAAACAGCACATTACAACTTTTTTTTCGGAGCGCAGTAGGTTGTTTGAAATAGGACTCCACTAATTTAAACCTACTAAATGAAACACAGTAAAAGGTTGATGAACAATAGGCGTGAGGCCCAAGTTCACCAGACCCATCAGCTCTCATGTCTCAAGCGTGAAGGAATTGCAACCCGAGGCAACACTAGTGTCATCGTTCTTGAGAACCAACGGACCATTGACCAGAAGACAAATCAAATTAGAGTCTGTTATACACGCAGCGCAACTGGCGTTTTGTAAACCAGGATCACCCGTGTGCCAAGAGCCGTCCGCTATGCACTTGGAACATAAAGATCTAACTTTTTAGTAGGCATGATCCGGTAAAATCCTCCTCGTTGTCTTTGGTGATATTCATTTTGTACAAGTGCTTACAAGGACTTGTTTCTACCTGACTCAGCTGCTCAAAACTACCTATCGCCTTCAGTGCGCATGGTAGAACAAATTTCTACCGTTAAATTTATAGTGTGATCTTGGCCTCTAACTGGCAGTGTGCACATGACAATTGTTTTGAGGGGTCAATGAAGTACAATGCTCCATTGTTTTGAGCGTTTGTGAGCCAGTCTTATTGACAATAGTGATTAGGCGATGAACAAAGTTGTCACAGTTGAGTGGGTCACCACGGCAATAAGAATGCACATCCTGTGAAACGGCTACACCTTGCGTAGCTTAAAACTAAACGGTCATGGTCCCAACGTCTCTGCAAAAGCGTTCACAGGGTGATCATACTCAGCCTGAGAGTAAATGATTGTTTGATCGACCTGATGAGCCGTAATAATTTTGATGTTACTATCAGAATCCTGCCACAGTCCCTGGTCCGTTAGATAACAGATCGTGCGGTTATACGGCATATGCTAACAAATCACGAATCCGGTGTGGATGAGGTTGACCAGGTGTTCACGAGCTGTCAAATTACTTTGCCAAATTTGGTTTGAATCAGTTCGTTGTTGCACGACGGTCGATGAAGTTCACTGGACAAGTCAATGCAGTAAAAAAAAACCAGTCGAAAAACCGGAAAGTCGTACTATAGATGAACGGACCAAACCAGTCTAGCTAAATGAAACGGGTGGAAACAGATATCTGGTTTTGCATGCAAAGCGAGGTCGGTAGGTGATCGGCTTTCCATCCAATTTTTTCGCGGCTCATCGGAAAGCTTAAGGGACTTTCGGTGAGCAGGGGCAGTATCGTTACGCTGTAACCCAGCCGGAAACTGTAGCCTTGCATTTACGAACGTGGTGGACGCCTGTCTTCGAATACTAACTCGTGTAGCATATATATTTTGGTGATTTGCGCACTTGCAGGCATTATGAACTTCCCTGATGCGATTATTTGTCAGTGCTTTCATTGGCTTTTGTTCGAAGTGGATGCCTCGAATCTTCAAAAACGTTTGGCTTAACTAATTGTGATGTGTACCGAGGCCATGTAGCCAAAAGCAGCGGGTGAATCCCTCTATCATTGGGAACAAATAATATCTAGCCATAATCAGAATGAAGAAACCACAAGGTTGGGGGGTATTATCAGAAACACAATGAATACCTATTGCAGTAGCCTATCAACACTGCTAGGGATGTCAGTCATATTCTACATATTCTACAAGCTACTTCCGAAATTTTTACCTCAGCGGTCTCCTCAAGGATTTATGAATCATGTCATCGTCCTGACATTCTGCATGCTGTGCACTGGCAGGAAAACGGAAACGGTTAAAACACAAAATAACCCCGCCGACTTAGGGTTGTAATACGTTGCAAGCTAGGAGGAGGTTCACCTAAGGGGGAATCCCCACCTGAAGATCACACGACAGCGTTGTCATGCAGACCCATTCAGTGTGTAACTCTTTCGAGGACGAACCATTCACTTATGTGTTTCATTGGTCCCGCATACCACCCACGTTGGCTAACACTGAGTGTTTGGTTTATATATACACAGCTCCCAGTCATTACGTATGGCACCAGTTTCATTTCGTCTTGCCTCATGATATTGCCGGTTCTCAAACAAGGACGTGAAACTTCAGATTGTCCAGAACATTACTGTATACACTCGAAATGCACCGCAAAATTTGAAGGGGTAAATTTCTTAAGATACTAACAAA